AAAACCCAAAACCCAAACCAAACCCTCCAAAACCGTAGTACCCCCCCTCCCCCCCCCCCACCCTCTAGCCACCCGGTCACATCTCCCGCCGTATGCCCCCCCCTCCCGCCAACCGCCACCCGCCACCCGCCACCCGCCACCCGCCCGCCACCACCCCACCCACCACCGCCAATGCCACCACCACCACCACCACCAGGGAGCCAGAGACAACTGCAGGTGACGGTGAGACTCCACCCACCGCCGACCTCTGCACCACTTCCACCACACTCTGAGGTCTTCCCCTCTTTGGCTCTTCACGGGCCAGCTGCTCCGCCCGAGGCAAACGGTGGCCAAGCCCTTGTCGACCATGCTGCCGAGTATGCTCATGTCCGTGCTGCTTCTGTTGATTCGGTGGCTGCTGATGGTGAAACTGTCTTTGATCTTCCTCTGGTACCTGTCATTGTTGATGATGGCTCGCTCCATGCCATGCGCGATGCGCCCATCCGTCTTTGGCTACACGCCTCTCACATGACAGAGCTTCCGCCTGATGCTGTTCCGTCAAAGTCGTCGCACAAGTCATCCACCTCATCGTCAAACAAGGACGGTGGATCGGGTGTGCCTACTCTGGTCGCTATTCCTACCGTCATCGCAGAAATCGCCGTCGATTGGGCCCCGCTCCTCGCAGGCGCCACTACTACCTTCGCCAATGTCTCGACTGGTATCGCCGCCCTCGGCCGCTTTCCGCTTGTCTCCTCCATCGATGTCACCGTCACAGTCCTTCCCGTCCTGGCTCCGCTGCCAAGCGAGAAGCACTTGGACCGCGACCGCGACTCTCGTCGTTCGCGGTCAAAGCACGGTTCTAGCGGCTCGCGCTCGCCGGCCCCGTCGCACGCCCCGCCGCGCCCAGCCTCGCCGCCTGCTGCTCCACCGTCTGGAGACCCTGTGGATTTACTCTCGCCCGAGCAGCGCGCGTTCTACAATCCGATCGCCGTCTCCATTCACGGCGTCTACGACCTGCCGCAGACTCCGCTCGACGCAGCAGCTCTCGCCAGCGTCTGCTCTCCACTCTTTGTCGAGCTCCACTGGCTCGCACCGGAGCCGCCGCGCCGCTCACCACCTGTCGCACATGCTTCATCAGTTGCGCTCAACTACACCGCCGTCTTCTTTGCATCAGACTACAACCATGACGACCTCGTCGACTTTCTGGCCTCGGACAAGCTTTGTCTCAAGGTGCGCGATCGCGAGCCCAAGCCTGTTACATCAGACCTCACGCCAAATGTCGACCCCGCAGATGCTACTGCAGCTGTCCCGCCGGTCTCCTCGGTCTGGGACGTGGTTTTTGGTGACTCGGCGCCGCCCTCGCCCAAGATCGACGACGAGGCCGTCAGCTCGAGCAAGCCGGACCGCGTTGCCGCCTCGCCGCCGCCGCGGCCGTCGTCGTCGTCCAAGAGCCGAAAACAAGGCCAGCGCAAGTCGACGACGTCGTCAAAGTCGCGCACCGGCACAGGCTCCAACTCGGGCAAGGCCACCTTGGCACACCGCTCAAAGGGCAAGAGCAAGAGCTCTGCGCCCGCGCCGCCGTCGTTGCGCAAGACTCGCAAGTCGGCCAAAGTCCGCGCTGTTGACACCAAGCTCATAGAAGAGTCCATCTCTCAGGTCCGTGGGACCGGCAGCGACGGCTCGGGCCCTCATGGTGTTGCCACCCTCGCCACCTCGGCCATCGTCAAGCGCGGTATGGCCCGGACCTCGGTCGATGCCTTTCTTGTCCCAAACGTGTCGGTCACCCGCTCGTCAGCCTCGCTGGCCCGAGCCGGCGCCGGCCGTCTGGGTCGCTCCGTCACGCCAATCTTGCCTGGCCATTACGTCCAGGCTGGCACCTACGTCTCGGCCACCATTGCCTCGTCGTTTCCGCTCAACACTCCGCTGGTTCATCATCCGTACATCCGGCTGATAATCTCGATGCCGTATGATGCGCTCGTCACCGCTCAGGCTGTCCTTGCCGCCATCCGCGCCGCCAACGCGTCGGTGCTTGGCTTGTCCGGTGATGCCGCTACGCCTGCTGCACTCCGGGCATACATGCTCTCGTCCGACCAGCGGGCCGATCCCAACCTCGACATTGTCACCGGCATTCAGATTATCACCCCTGCTGCTCGTGTCTTTCTTCTCGAGGGCTGCGCCGCAGGCGCGAGCCTGGCTGCTGTTGCCGATGCCGCCTCACGCCTCCGCGCCCCCGACGTGCCTGTTCTCTGCAACAACGAGGTTACCTTCCGCGACCGGCTCTACGCCTCGGACGACCTCGAAGTCGGTGCACTCAAGCTTGCAGTCACACTTGATGATATGCTGGCTGTCCGCGACCTGTACATCCGCAACCGAGTTCCCGGGCCGGCTGTCGAAGCTGCTCTCAAGCTCGATCTGCTCTCACGAGCCCCATCGATGCGGTTTGTGGCCCGCATGAACGCCTTTCCTACACGCGCCCAGCTCTACGCGCTCGGCCGCAAGTATGGCACTTCGCTCACTCCGCTCGACTACGGAGTAGAAGAGGAGGGCCAGGCAGTGGCCGGCGCCGACCACGCGGCCGGCGTCGCGCAAGATGCCCCGACCCGGCCGAGCTCGCGCGGCGACAAGTCCGCGCAGAGCCAGGCCTCGGCTCTGAGAACCCGGACCGCGCTTGATCACTACAACGCCGAGTTTGTGGCCACACTCGAGACTCGCCAGGTCGAGGGCCCGCCCGACCGCGTCCGCGCGCACATCGAGGCCTACCGCGGCATCTCGCGCGCCGAAGCCCGCGCCCGCTTTCTTGCCGGAAGACCGGACGTAGCTGCCGGAGAAGCGCCGGTCTACATCTACGGCGGCCAGGCGCTCAACGCAGCCGAGCTCGCCCGCAAGGATTTGGCTCAGCATCTGGCCGCCAACGCCGGTGACGTGCACTACACCTACTCCCCGCACTACCTCTCAGGCGCCGTCGCACTGGAAACACCCGAGGAGGCCACCCGCCGTGAGGCCGCGGCCTCCCAGGCGCTCCAGCTCACCCAGCACGGCTTTGAGCCACAACCGCGGTCGCGAGCCGCAGACCTCGTCCATCCGCTCAAGCCGCATCCGTCGCGCGTCGCCGAGCTTGCCGAGCCGTTTGTTGACCCCGTCCCGCTCTTTCTGCAAACCCGCGACACCGGCGGTGATCCCAACAAGCCACCATTCCACGTCGACGGCGAAGCCGTGTTGGACGAGACGCCGCTGGTGGCGTCAGTTCATTACGCTGGCGATGTCCGTGAGAACGAGCTCGATGAGGCGCTCCAACGCGAAAAGGCCGAGTGGGAGGCCAAGCTTGTGGTCGATGACCCCGTTTTCCGCATGGTCACGCCCGACAAGGTGCCACTCGACGGCGAGACACCTGGCGAGTTCCGCACCCGCAAGATCGAGGCACGGCTGGCCCGCTCCGCCGAGCCGCCATCGCTTGCCTCGGGCCATGTGTACGTCGACCCCCCACTCGCCACAACCCCACTGCGGCCCAACCTGCGCCGCATGGGCGACGAGGAGTTTGACATCTTTACTCGCCCACCGCGCGACGTCATTGCCAAGCCGCACATCGTCCCGCTCTCTGACGCTGAGCGCGCGGCATGGTACGAGCCCAGCTAGCTGCAAACTAGTACCGGTGGTAGAGCGGCGTGCCGGGCTCGCGGCCGTAGCCCAGCGACTGGTCAAACGGCATCGACGAGTTGAGTGAGTTGTAGTGCAGCGAGTTGTTGAGCGAGGTGTCAAAGTCAAAAGTGAGCGAGTCGTTGACCGAGGTCTCGCCGCGTGCCGCCAGCATGTCGTATCCGGTCCGATCCGCATGCTCAGCCGCCGCCCCGTGCCGCCGCCTCCGATACGAGGCCCGCTGTGCCTTGTTAGCCATCACCCGCGCCTTGACCAGCTCGACCGTGCGGTCCGAGACCTCGAATGAGTCGGAGCAGTGGCCAAAGAGCTCGTCAAGATCAAGCGGATCATACGGACCAAACACCGTGGGCTTTGTGTGCGACGACGAGCCAGCGGTGGTCGTCGTCACCGTCGAGTACGCCGAGTAGGTGCCGGTGCCGGTGCCGGTGCCAGTGCCCGAGCCTGACGACGACGATGATGACGACGACGACGGGAACCGCGCGTCTTCACGGGTGGAGGGGAACGCCGCCTGGGCTGCAGCGCGCGGGTTTTCCTCCGCCTGACGCGCGGTCGAGCCAAAGACCTTACCGGACTTGACTGCAGCCTTGGTCGGAAGGGCCTTGACGACCTTGAGTCGCTTTGCGTAGTCATCAAGATCGACTTCGGCAAGAGTGATGATGGCACCAGACGCCAGCGATGAAGAGTGCTTCTTCCGCTTTGACTTTGCAGCCTTGCTCTTCTTACCCTTGCGGCGAACCTTGAAGCCGCCCGACTTGGGGCCGGCAGCCGCGGCCGACGAGGCGCAGCATGCGCCGCGGCCGCGGCCCGCACGGGCAGCCTTCTTGGACGCAGCAAGAAGGTCTGCACGGACATCGTCAAAGAACGGGTGATGCATAGCCTCGTGGGCGGTGAGCCGCTTCTCGTGGTCAAAGACCAGGACACGGTCAATAAGGTCAATGGCAAGCGGGGTGGCCAGCTCGAGCACCCGCTGCGTCCGCACCAGCTTGTACCAAGCAAACCGCTTGCGCGGAAGCTCGGTCTCGGCCACGCTCTCGAGATAGTCAAGCGACCATTTGGACTTGGTGATAAAGTATCTGTTGAGCCAGGCGTCGTAGTCGTCGGCGCCGAGGTACTGGATGACGTTGACCATGTGGTCCTCGTTCGAGTCGTGTTGCTGAAGCCAGTTGCACTGGAAGAAGAGGACGGCCATGATGCAGCCGGCCGACCACATGTCCGAGGCGTAGTCTGGGAACGGGTAGTGCACCACCGACTCGGGCGCCTTCCACCGCCGCGTCCCGGCCCATTTGGTCGCCGGCTCGTTTGGCACGTACCACGTGGCGAGGCCCCAGTCGATGAGTCGGAGTGAACCCGTCTTGCGCTCAAACAGCACGTTGGCGCACTTGACGTCGCGGTGCATGATGCCCGCCGCGTGCGTGGCATTGAGTGCCTCGAACAGCCGGAACATGTAGACCTTGGCCTCGGCCGGTGACATCATCCGGAACAAGTCGCGGTACGGCTGAGAGTCGAGGTACTCAAAGAGCAGGACGGTATCACCGAGCTTGCGCAGGCTCTGTCCGCTCTTCTTGCTCCCTTGCTCCCTTGCTTCCCTTGGACCCAGAATCCGACTCGGACTCGGAGTGAGGCGCGCAAACAATGTCAACCAACTTCACCACGTTCGGCAGGCCCTGGACAGCCAACAGCATGTGGATCTCATGCTGGATGAGCTCCGCATCTGACGCCTTGCTCACCCGCATGACCTTGGCCACCAGGCTCGCGCATTTTCCGTTGCGCGCCTTGGATGCACGGTACACGTCGCCGTACCCGCCTGACCCCACGAGCTCCTCCCAGTGGATGTCGTAGTTGGCATAGTTGCCCGGAACCACCTCGACTCGGTCAGCATCGTACTTTTCGGCTGGCTGTGGATAGCCAACGTTGGCAAACTGGTAGACCGGCGAGGCAAAGAGTGGGACGTAGACATCGTCCGGAAGGAGTTCAGCCTCACCGCCGCGAAGCTCGCGCGGAACGAGCTGGACAGCTGCGCGAGCGGCCGAGTCAGACCCATCATCATGGGTGGTCGACGTGTTGGAGCTCGAGCCCGAACCCGAGCCCGAGCCCGAGTCCGAGCCCGAGGCGGTGGCCGAGCGCGAGCCACTCCCACGGTTCTTGCCAGCAAGCTCCCGAGCCAGGCGGACGCGCTCCTCGTGCCCAGCACGGATCATAGCCTCTCTCCGCTTCAAAAGTCGCTTGGTGGCCTTGCGCAGCGTGGCAGCCTCGCTCGTGGTCACTGGCGCACGCTCTTTCGCCGTTAGCCCCGAACCCGAGTCGGTGCGAGAGGCCGAGCCACTTTCCGAGTAGCTGCCTGTACCAGCCTCTTCCTCCTCCTCCTCCTCCTCCTGCCCACGCCTATGCTCATGCACACGAGTCCGATTACGCCGAGTCATAATTTCCCAACAGAGTGGAGTGCGGTTGAATGTCGAGAGCGACGAGCTGGTGTAGCACTGCCTGGAGAGTGGTGCTGGACGGCAGGGTTTGGTGCGTGCGTGGGATCGACTGAGTGGACGCAACACTGTTTTTTCTCTCTTTTCGCGCGTGCCAACCATGGGGTTTTTTTGGAGGGGGGAGGGGGGCGCGGCTCGTCGGCCTCCCCTCTCCCCCTCCCCATGTCCACACATGCATGGACGCACCATCGCAAGCTTTTTAAATCGCACTGCGGCAAACACCGCCGGCCAGTGGCGAGCGAGGAAATGGCTGCTACGATGCGACAAGGCCCGCAGGTGCAGAAGAGCCAATGTCTGCTGGAACAAAGCCGAGATCTTCGACGGGAATGCCGTACTCGGCGAGCTTGGCCTCGTAGACGCGGATAGTATCGTTGCGGGCCTTGACGACCTTGGCCACCTCGAGCTGCAGGGCGCGGATGGTTTTGTTCTTGACGTCAAGCACGTCCTCGAGGCGCTTGGTGACGGCGGCAAGAGCGCCCGGCTCGATGTTGGACGCGGCGAGGACCTCGGAGAGCTGGGCGTCCTTCTTCTCGAGCTCGTCGTTGAGAACGGCCATCTTCTTCTCAAGCAACAAGTTCTTAAAGCCGGACTTTTGCTGGACCTCGTGAATGGTGGTGACAAACTTGTCGTACAGCTCGTCACGCTCGGCCTCGACCTGGGCAAAGCGCTGCTCGAGAACCTCGTGCTCCCACTGCAGATCCTTGAGCTCGTCCTTGGTGGTAGCCAGCATCTTGGTCGTCTTCTTCAGCCGCTCCTGGGTGGAGCGGAAGGCCTCCAGCTCCTTCTCCAGCTCCTCGACACGGGCAGTCTTTTCTGCAAGCGGCTCGAGGGCGCGCTGCAGATCGGCCTTCATGGAGAGCATGCGCTTGGCGTCTGCGTACGACTGCTTGCGCAGCTCCTCCACGTGGTCCTTGAGCGAGACAATGAGGGCCATGTTGTTCTGCGTAATGTCAAAGTAGTAGGCTTTGATGTCGGCAAAGGCCTTTTCGTGGTTGGCCATCAGGTCCTGGATGAACAAGTCCTTACGGTTCTGCAACTCCTTGAGCTCGGTCTTGCGGCGAAGCTCAATCTCTCTACGCAAGGCGCGGGTCTTCTGCACATAGTTGGCGTGCATCTCCTGCGCCTGCCGCTCGTAGTCTTCGCGGAGCTTGGTCTTTTCCTTCTCGTGATTCTGCTGGATAGTCCGCACATGGAGTTCGTTGCGCGACTGCTTCTCCTTCAGCTTGTGCTTCAGCTCGCGCTTGGTCTTCTTCAGCTCGCCCTGCTTGGACACTGCCTCGGTGTGCTGCAGCGTCATCTTAGACTCGGCCTGCCGCTTGAGCTCGGCAATCTTGTTCTGGTGCTCGTAGAGCAGGTGCTTGACCTTTTGCTTGTACACCTTGATCTGCACCTGGTGGTTCTCCTCGAGCTCCTCCATCTCGCGGTCCTTGTTACGCAGCGCAGCCTTGGCCTCGTCCAGATCCTTCTTGGTCACCTCCCAGAACGTGTTGATCTTGTCGCGTTCTAGCTGGTAGTAGTTGCGCTCCTCACGCTCAGCCTTCAGCAGGCCCTCCATTTCTTCCAGCTTGACCTGCAGCTCGGCCACGCTGGGGCCCTCGGCCTCCTCCGCCCGCCCGCCGCGCCGCCCACCGCGCCGCCCGCCCCGTCCGCGTCCACGTCGTCCGCGCCCAGACATAGCCGCCTGTTTGCTCGGCCAACCCTACGACCTTGCTGCTGCTCCTGGCGACGACTAACTGCTCCGCGCGTCTGCACACAACCCCGTAGGTGGTGAAGAGCGAGGTGTTGACCGCCACTTGCCTACCAGCTAACCGCCTCCTCCCCCGCAGCTGCCAACGGGTCTTGGCCTCCGGCTGCCGTTGGTCGCCCGTTGCCCGCCAACCTATCGCGCCCACCCCAAACGGTTCGCACCGATCAAAACAGCCAAGACCCAATCATGTGGCCCCAATCCTGGCTCATCACGTGTCCCCAAGCCCGAGTATCTCTTTCATCTCACGGCTCACAGCCGCACCACTAGCTACAAGCCAAAGAGCATATGTCGATCAGGCCAAGCCACTCGCTACATCCTGCTTGGATGTGATGGGCGAGCTCGGCGGCAGCGGTGACAGTGGAGGACGGAGGGGGGGGGGGGGAAGGGCGTGGATTTTTCTCACTTTTTTCCGTTTCGCCATTCGCGCGAGCTGGATTCGGCAAGAGGCGGAGCGAACGAGGAAAGACGTTTGACAGCATCCAATTCTCTCTCTCCCACAGAACTTGCGGTACGTGATACTGCGGGCACTCTGTGTGGTGTACGCAGGAGGGGGGCTGAAGTGCGGTAAAGACGCTCTCTCCCTCCTGCACCGGCGTAGGACCCGTGTGTAGCCTCTTCCACTTGCCGTCCCTGGCCTTGGGCTGAGGAATGCGCTTGGTAGGGGTTGGCTATGCCGGGCACCCTCGTCGGCCACAAACACTACATTTGTGTCTGATCGCCGCCTGTGGCCACACTTCTGCCGGCTTTCCCCGCGGCTCCCACCCTCCACCCTCGCTGCAACCCAGCTGAGAGAGTGCTTGGAGCATGCCACGTCTGTGCGGTTGGCCCGCGCAGCCGATGGTAGCGGTTGTGTCCTCGTTGGCGTCGCCTGGGTGTTCTGACCTTTGCGGCCGATGCCACGGGATGGGATGGCCGGTTGGCTAGTGGTGGCGCAGCGGTAGCAGGGAGAGGCTGGGCGGTGTGCATAACCAAGAGGCGAATACTCACAGGTGTGGTGTGTGGACTTTGATGATTGTCTGATGGGCTACGTCGCGGCTTGGTCTTGTGGGTGATACAGAAGATGGTGCTCGTTTCGGTGCTCAACAACGCCCTCAACTCGATCTGCAACGCTGAGAAGCGCGGCAAGCGCCAGGTCCTCATCCGCCCGGCCTCCAAGGTTGTGGTCAAGTTCCTGACCGTCATGATGAAGCACAAGTACATCAACGAGTTTGAGATCGTCGATGACCGCCGTGCTGGCAAGATCATCGTCATGCTCACCGGGCGCATCAACAAGTGCGGTGTCATCTCGCCGCGCTTTGACGTCAAGCTTAAGGACATCGAGAAGTGGGTCCAGCAGCTCCTCCCGTCCCGCCAGTTCGGTTCGCTCGTCCTCACCACCTCGTACGGTATCATGGACCACGAGGAGGCCCGTGCCCGCCACACTGGTGGCCGCATCCTCGGCTACGTGTACTGAATGAAGCACGCCGCAAACCACACACGCTCTCTCACTCTCTAGCTCCCTCTCATTCTGCAGCTGAGACACTACATAGCAAGCGCAGCCCTCAGCGGCTGGTTTACAACCACCGGCGTACCGTTCGGCAAGGCGGTGCAGCTAGTCGGTCGTCTGTGGCGTCTGGGGGTTTGGCGCCACCTGACACTCGTCCTTCCACCTCCCACACACACACCGCACACCATGCCGCCAGCCCGACTGCGCGTAGCACTCGCTTCGCCACCCACCGTATGGTCGCCGTGGCGTCTTGGTCGTGGCGTGGCAGGCGCAGACGGCTCGACCACGTTGGTCATCACCGCAGCCGCAGCCGCGGCAATCGACGACGGCGCTAGTGCCGATGCCAAAGGTGCAGAGGCAGACGTGGAGATTAGCGCCGAGGGACGATCGGTTGGTCTCGTCGCGCCTTCAGAGTCGCTGCTAGCCAGCCTTCCGGATGATGTGCCTGCAGGCGCTGTGTTCTGCGTTGTGGGCGCTGCCGGGTCGGTGCTGTACCTTGCAGCCGATTCGATCGACGCTGCGCTCGAGTGGGTCGCCCGTCTTGCGCCGGCAGACATTGTCGCCCGCCAGCGCGATCTGCTCGCCCACGCTGACGCCACCATCCGTGATCTCACCAACTCGCTTCGCGAGCTGCATGCGTGGAAGGTGGAGCACGTGTGCGCGGAGATGCCGGTGGCGCCTACGCCTCCGCGCACGCCCGCACCCGTGCCCGAGCCCGCGCCTGCGCCTACCTTCGCGCCGCCCACGCCTGACCCTCCTGCCCAGTCGGAGCGGCTCCGCGAGGCTCTTGCTGAAGCCATTCAGTTGGAGCGGCAGCTGGCGCGAGCGATGGCTACCAACGCCGAGCTAGAGGAGCAGACCGAGCGGCTGTGCAACCACGTTGCGGATGCGAACCAGCGCGCGGCGGCACAACGCGACGCCGACGCTGCACGCCTCGCCACGCTCACTGCCACCATCCGCGAGCTTGATGCCGCTGTCGTTGGTCTCAACGAAGAGAATGCTGAGCTTGCCAGCGCGCTGCGGGCCTCCGAAGACCGTGTAGCCAAGCTCGAGCGCGCGGTCCGGATGCTCACCGCCGATCGCCATGGCGGGTAGCCTGTGCGAGTGCCCGTTAGCCCCTGTGTTCATTGCCGAGAGCCTGCAGCAATGCATGTCATGCACTTTGCGCCGCGATCGCGCTTGCGCTTCTGCGACTTGGAGAAGGCCGAGCCCGGCTTGGTCTCGCCACACACAGCGCAGACAATGTCGCGGGCTTGCTGTTGGCGGCTGCTTCCGCTGGCAGCTTGCGACCTTTTGGCCGCCGCTGGTGCATCGGGTCCGGCCGGCTCTTCCCCGGTCTCGAGCCACTCGTGGGTGACATCTTTGCGCGGCAGATCCGCGGCGCCGGCGGCAGCGTCGGCGGTGTAGTTGGCGAGAAAGGCGTCGACCGCAGCCGAGTCCGGCGCGAGACTGGTGGTCAAGGCGTCGACAAGCTCGCCAAGTGAGGGTTCTTCCGCCAGCTTGTCCAGCAACTCGCCGAGGCGAGTAGCGCTTGAGGTGTTGGCGGCGAGCACGGCAGCACGGACCGCGTCGTGGCGTGCATCGTCAAGAACAACGAGATGCCGCGCACAGTGGACCCTGTCTTCGAGTACAGTGGCGGTCCAGAACGAGGCAAAGCCGCACTCGCGTGCGGCAGCGTCGCGACCATCAATGGCCAGCTGGGCGTTGTTGGGCGAGCAAGCCATGCTCCCGCGCTTAGCGTGGACCGAGACCTCGACCGGGCCGAGCCGGCCAACGGTTACCGGGCGGCGCACAGCGCGGGTGGTCACGCCGCGCGGATCAAACACGCCCAGCGCTAGAATCTGCCGCCGCCGCCGCGACTTGGCCGCCGCCTTGGCGCTCGGCCCCTTGCTAGCCTCGCCGTTCTTCCGCGAGCGGTATGCAAAGTTGGACTCGCGCGGGCCGGAGCGGGAGTCAAAAGCCCAGCCGTGACTCACCAGATTGAGTGCCGTCTCACTCGGCGGCTTGCCCCACACCGTCACTTCGATCCGCAGCTCGGCGAGCTCGAGCAGTGGGCTTGCCCACGATCGCAGACCGTCGACGAGCTCGGGTGGCAGCGCAGCAAGCGCGGCCGGATCCCGGCTCGCCAGCTCGATGGTGATGTGTGGCGGAGCAAAGGCGTACGAGGCCGAGGCATAAGACCCGATGTACACCATCGACCGCAGAAACAAGGTATCGTCAAACATAATCCGCGGACAGCGGCCCTCGCCCGAGCCATCGTACTCGATCGTCGTCCCGCCCGGGCCTGTCGTCGCGCCTGCAATGTCAAACACGGCGTCGTCGCTCGGAACCAGCGCCTCCAGCCGCTCGTCCAGCCTTTGTCGCTCACTTTGTGCCGCCATTGCCCTCCCTAAAGACGTTTCAAGTCGAGTGCTACTACGGGAGGGGAGGGGCGCGGAGGGGCGGGACCGTAGCAAGCTAGTGGGGGGAACTGCGGCAAGCCAGAGAAGCAAGCGAAGGAAGGGAAAGGAATGGAAGAATGCCTGCGGGCAGCAGCCAACGAAAGACCTCGATTGAGGGCAGTCACCGAAGGATGGCCTGCGACTAACCGCAACGACGGTGGCGACCAAAATTACAATCACTCGCTCATCCAGCCGCACCCAACCAAGCTCCCGAGCTCCGATTGGCTCACATACAGCCAATACAATGCCCAATCGCCCACTACCTCCACCTACACAAAGTCATCTTGAGTACATCTGCCTCCGATGACTTCTTCTCATCCCCTAACTCACAACCACACCCATCATCTGAGTACCCGCCGCCACAACCAGCCGCACACACACACACACACACACACCAACCTTCTCCTGCCCAACCTGGACACACCTCACGCCAGAGCTCCCCCCCCCCTCTCACACACATACCCAAACGACATGAGCGGGACACGCGTGCAGCTGGCAGCAGTGGTAGCCGTTGTCTTTGCGGCTCTGGTGGTGGCTGTGGTGGCGCAAGGCCCGACGACAACGTTCGCTCCGCAGGCCGTCCGCGACTCGTCGGTGGTGGCACTATGGGAGTTCCTGGAGGGCTCTGGTTTGACGACGGCCGACACGTCTGGCCGAGCGCCTTCCCTTGATCTGACTCTCGCTCCGTCGGTCACCTGGGAGCCGTCGACCCGCGGCCTCCGTATCGACGCGTCGGCGGGTGGTGCTGACGGCCTCACAGGCGCGGCAGCGTCGCCCGGGGTGGAGAAGATCATGGCGTCAACCGAGAACGACTACGGCTGGAACTACACCACCGAGGTCTGGTCGTGGCCCACGGCGTTCCCGCCGAACAACGGCTGGCACACCCTGTTCCAGCTCTGTAACTCGGCCCACGACAACGACCGCCTCGACCTTCTCCCGCCGTGCATGCGCCAGGCCCTGTACCACGGCGCAGGCGTCAACGTCTCGCATGCTTTCTCTTGGCAGCTCATGTTTGAGGAGGTGGTTGCCGGCTCGTTCATCAACAAGCAGGCGCTCGGCTTTTCCAAGGCCGAGGCCCCCGTTCCGGGCCTCCGCCACTCGGTCGCCCGCTACTCCGTGACCACGCCGGCGCCGTTTGGCGAGCTCGGCCCGGGCTATGCCCTCGGCCAAATCTTCATCAATGGTGCAGAGGTTTCCGGCTCGGTTGCTGGCTCACGCGAGACCCAGGGCCTTCCCATCAACGCGTGGGAGACCATTGCGCCCAAGGCCCCGCACTCGTGGCGCGCCCATTCGGCCGCCAACCGAACCTTTACCATCGGCTACTCGCTGGACAACTCGGGCGCCATCCACCCGAGCGCAGGCTACAAGGGCGCCATCTACATGATTGCCCTCTACGACCGCGCCCTCACCGACGCCGAGATCGCCGCAAACTACCTCGCCGGCCCGCCCACCGTCGCCCCGTCGACCCTCGCTCCGCCTCCCGGCCCGGCCCCGTCGACCGCTGAAAACGTCAACGCCTCGCTCACCTTTCCGGGCTCAGACGCCGACACCGTCTTTGGGTGGGACTCGGGCCTCTCGGCCCGCATCGATTCCATCTCGGTCTCGTCGCCCATCGCCTCGTTCTTCCCCAGCAATGCTGTCGGCAAGTTCTACGACGGCAATGACGTCGAGGTCATCGCCGCCGCGCCGACCTCGTTTGCCACGGCCCTTGCTCCTGGCGGTCCGACCGTCACTTTTGTCCCGGCTACCGGCTTTACGGCTCGGTCACCGTCAACTACCGCAGCGTCGACTCGCGCCGCGCCGTAGCGCCCTCGGCCTCCTCTCTGGTGCTCACCGTCACCAATGTCGAGCACGCTCCGGTCGCTGTTGCCTCGGGCGCCTCCACCTTTGCCGGAGCCCCGGTCGTTGTCGTCCTCTCTGGAACTGACCTTGATCCCGAGTCGCTCCTCTCGCCCACCGTCACCCAGCTGCCCGACGCCAACCTCTATGGCACCCTGGCCAAGCTCGATGGCGAGCCGGTCATTGCCAACCAGATCATTCCCACCGCCACCCGCCTGGGCTCGGTCCGCTTCACCCCGCGCGCCTCGATGGCACTGCTCTCGCAGGTCCCCTCGGTTACCGCAACCTTCAAATTTACCCTCACCGACTCGCTGACCGCGGTTGTCTCCAACGAGGCCACCGCCACTGTCACCATCCTTAACAATGCCCACGCCACCACGGCGTCGTACGCTATTGTGGAGGACACTCGCACCCGTGTCGTCCTCGCCGGCACCGACGACGTCTCGGCAGCCGCCCTCTCATTCCGCATCGTCCAGCTGCCCGCCGCAGGCACCCTCTACTTTGCCGGCACCGACATTCCCGTCAGTGCCGGCGACATGGTGCCTGTCGCCGACGCCGGCGCGGTCGACTACCAGCCCGGCGCGGACTTTGTCGGCGTTGACATCCTCAAGTTCACCGCGACCTCGGCGGTCTCGCTGGCCGAGTCGGTCCCGGCCGTTGCTTCGTTTAACGTCTCCAACGTCAACGACGCGCCACGCCCGCAGAACGCGCGTGTCGAGTTCTTCGCTCTCGACCTCAACTCCACCTTTGCGCTCCCGGTGGTCGAGGTCGACGGCGACGTCATCACCGTCTCTGTCACCGCCATCCCGCAGGCCTCGATTGTCGCTCTCTCGCAGACAGCCTCTGCCGGCGGCGCCGACATCACCGCCATGCCCACCATTGTGACCGACGCCCTGCGCCGTGTCGTTGCCCATGCCGTCGCCCCGACCCAGAGCTCGACCCAGGGCTACGCCGCGGAAATCACCTTTACCGCCGTCGATCCCTACGGCCTGGTCGGCACGCCTGCCGTCGTCACCGTCTTTGTCAAGCACTCGTTCTTTGCTGCCAACGTGACGGCAACCACCGCCGAGGACACGCCGACGACAGTCTCCCTCGCCACCCAGGACTACTTTGGCCGCGCCTACGCCGTCTACCTCCGTTCGCTCCCGGACCCGGCCACGGTCGGTACGCTGCGCCTTGTCGGCTCGACAGAGGCTATCACCCAGGCTCAGCTCCCGCTTGTCCTCACGCCCGCCACCGCTGGTACCGCCGTCACCCTCATTGAGTTTGTGCCCGCCCGCGACGCTGTCGTCCCGCTCACGTCGTTCGAGTACGAGATCCGCGACACCGAGGGCCGCGGCGAGGTTGTGGTCGGCACCGTCTTTGTGTCGACGACGGCTGTGCCCGACCCGCCGCGGGTCGAGCTGACCAACCCGAGCGAGACGCTCGAGATCGCTGATGGCGCCGTGCTTGAGATCACCACCCTCGTGGTCGCCGAAGTCGACGACCCGAACGCCATCGTGAGCGTCAACGTGACTGCTGTCGGGACCGGGCTCGTCGCTGGCTCGGGCCCGCTCGACTCGGTCACCTTTGCCAAGACGCTCACTCTCTCGGGCACGTCGGCCGAGATCGCGGCGCAGCTCCTCGCGCCGCTGCGGTTCAAGTCGGGTCCGGAGCAACGGGTCCGGGAAGCGACAGCGTTTGAGGTCCAGGTCTCAGCGCAGGCGCAGGGCGAGGAGTCCAAGCTCTCGCTCTTTGTCAACGTTCTACCTGTGCCCGACCCATCGGGTGTCTCGCTCGACGGCTCGCTCGTCGCCGCCGTCGCGGCAGCAGCCTGCACGGCGCTGCTCTTTGGCGCTGTCGGCGCCTTTATCCTCTACCGGCGGCAAGAGTCGGAACCGAAGCTCCCGCCACCGCCTCAGTTTACGCCGTTCATCTACGACGAGAACCGGCTAGTGTCGTCGGCCGAGGCCACGGGCGTCCGTGCGCCGGTCTCGATGACCACTGAGTTTACCGAGCTCGTTGTGGCCCGCGGCCAGGGCCTGGTCTACGCACTGTTCGAGGTTTCGGCCGAGGCCGACATTGACGACGTGTGCGAGCGGCTGGTGTTCGTGTATGAGGGCCATGGGCGGGCGTCAGCGCCCGACCTCGTCGCCTGCATTGCCCAGCGTGAGATCCAGATGGCGGCATCGTCGGTGACCCTCTTCCGGTCCAACTCGCGGGCGTGCAAGCTGTACTCAGTCTACGCCAAGGTCGTTGGCCTCCCGTACCTCTACGCCACGCTCGGCCCGCTGTTTGTGCAGCTTGTGGAGCAAGATGGATCGATCGAGGTCGCCCCCGAAAAGGTGCGTAAGTCCAAGAGTGGCTCGGTCGACGTCACCGTCAACAAGTGGCGCCTTCTCGTGGTGGCCCAGAAGTTCTTCAAGGCCATTACCGAGTCGGTCGACGCCGTGCCGTACGAGCTCCGCCAGCTGGCCCAGACTCTTTGGCACGAGATGGGCAAGCCGTCGGCGTTCCCGGAGCGCCGGTCGATTGCCCTTGGCACCTTCTTTTTCATCCGCTTCATTTGCCCGGCTATCGCCCAGCCCGAGGCCTACGGTCTCGTCCGCGAAGTCCCCTCGTCGGACCTCCGCCGCCTCCTCGTCCTCGTCGCCAAGACGCTGCAGAACCTGGCCAACGGCACTATGTTCGTCGAGAAAGAGCTTGACGCCATGAACGTCTTCATCGACTCGAACCAGGAGAAAATGGGCAACTTTCTGGCCGCCGTCGCCGGCACCGGCGGCGGTGCCGTCGGCACTGGCGTCCCAGTCCCGGCCCCGGTCTACGACGCCTCGGTCGCCTGGCTCTACGCCCACACCCAGGCTCTCCACGCCGACCTCCATCTGCTCCTCTCCGGTGTTCAGGTCGAGGGCGCACGCGAACTTGATCAGGCCCTCATCCGCGTCCTGCCGCGAGCACCAACCATGTCTGTCTAAACGCCATTGTCGGTGCGTCCGCCCACAAGTCGTCAGCTGGTCAACACTGTCAGCTCGGACGTGATGTACGTCGTCACTACTTGCTGCGACCACTGGGTATTGAGAAAGCCGAGCCCGCCGAGAATGACCGAGACCAGGGCTTGGACGTAGCCCGGGAGTTTGAGGAAGCGCGCTGGCCGCAGTCCGCGCCGCCAGGCGTATAGCACCACAAAGAAGAGCGCAGGCGCCCGAAAGGCGAGATAGAAGACGGCACGAGCAAAGAGCAGCCCGCGGTAGAAGAGGGAGCTGCGATCAACCTGCAGCCGCTGGCAGAACCACAGCACGTTCTGCGGGAGAACAGTGAGCTCGGTGATGAAAAACGCTGTGGGAATAAAGGCAAGCGATCGAAGACAGGGCATGAGTGCCGAGCCGACAACGCCTGCAATGTGATGAGCCCACATCGACGGCGTCTCGCCGCCGTGCAACGCCATGGTCACCAGATCGTAGAGCGTGTAGCCGAGATGGCAGGCGTAGTACGAGTCGAGAATGGGCGGATACGGACGAGTGACCGAGTCATCAAACAAGCGCACGCCTGCGACGGCCCAAAGTCCGCCGATGCCCATGATGGCGCCATGAACCCACGAGACAACATGCTCGGCGAGGTAAATGTTGGCATCCTCGGGCGGCATGGCGGCAAGGATGTCCTTGGCCACCGAAGCATGGATAATGCCATGCGCTACACCATGCAGCGCCACACAGCCCAGTAGCCATCCACCAGAGAGTACAGCAATGCGTCGCCATGGATACCGCAGGCGGATGGAGGCCAGGAAGGCATCCTCGTCCAACTCGCTCCGTCGTGGGTCCTCCCATGCTCCGTCCACCTCGGCCGTGGAGAACCCGTCCTCTTCCCGCAATGCCGCTGCCTCCACCAGTGCCTCCCATGCAGCCCGTACTGTCTCCATACTATGGAATACTGTGTGTGTGTGGAGGGGGGGAGAGAGAGAGAGGGAGAGAAAGGGTGGGAGGAGAGGAGGAGGAGGGACCTGGGCGGCAGGTGGCAGGGGGCGGGGAGGAGGGAGTCTGTCTGCCCGCCATCACAGCGTGCGTGGATGGGGGAAAAAAAAGGTCGTGGATGGGAGAAGAGCAACTGCTCGTGGAAAGGGGTGCAGGGCGGGGGCAAGGGGGGGGGGGGGGGGGTTACGGGGGAAGGGGGGAAGGGCAAGGGGGGTAATTCTCTTTATTAAGTCTCTCTCCTACCCTACCCTTTGTGGCCTTGTGGTGGGAGGCGGGTAGGTTGGGAGGAGGGGGGGGGGGGGGGGTACGGGGGGTGGGAGGGGGAGGGGAGAATGGCATGGCTCGTGGCGGCAGCAGTGGTGGCAGGTGCGCAGGTGAGTAATCACCCCACCCACGATGGGGTGTGTCGTGGGTGGGTGGCTGTGCGCTGACCCAACTCACTACATACGGCATGCTCATAACTATGGCCGATGACGGACAACGTGGTCTGATTGGTGCGTGCGGAGGTGTTCAGCGCAAGAATGGACTACCTCCAAGTAGTGCTGGCACTGATGATTGTGACGTTCTCGCTCGGCCTTGGGGCGACGCTATCGATGACGGCGCTGGCGGATGTGATGCGGCGAGCAAAGAAGCAAGTTTTGGTTGGCTTCTCCTCGCAGTACGGGTTCATGCCGCTCATGGCGTATCTGATGGCCCGATGGTCCGGGATGTCGGCGGCCAAGGCCGTGGGCCTCATTCTGGTTGGCTCTGCTCCCGGCGGGACGACGTCCAATCTGTTTGTCTACATGTCGGCCGGCGACCTGGCGCTCTCCATCGTCATGACTGTCTGCTCGACGCTGGCGTCGTTTGGCACCCTCCCCCTCCTGGTCCTCATCTACATCGAGTCGACGTTTGCCACCGAGGCGGTCCGTATTCCGTGGCTCATTCTCGGCCTTTCGCTGTTGCTGGTTGTTATTCCGGTCGGCTGCGGTATCTTTCTCAAAACCAAGTCGGACAAGTACGCGCTGTATGCTGAGAAGATTGGCTCGACTGTCGGCGGCCTGTTTATTCTGGCTGCCATCATCATCGGCATCGCCACCACCGATGTCTTCAAGTCTTCCGCCACCGAGTGGGTCATCTCGGGCCTGATGGAGCCGCTCGGCGCCGCCTTTGGCTACGGCGTCGCCGCCCTTCTTGGCCTGCATCCCCGCGATTGCAGAACGGTCTCGCTCGAAACCGGTGTCCAAAACTCAGCCCTGGCCATCTCGATTGTGGCGCTCTCGTTTGACGACCCCACAGTTCGCGACGAGGTTCTCACCTTTCCCATCCTGTACTCGTTCTGGTACTGTGTCCACTCGATCTGGCTGGTGGCGCTCTTCCGGTTTGTGCTTTCTAAGCGCGATCCGCCACGCAGCGACGAGACCGCCCTCATCGACGATGAGGTGAGAAAGGACGATGCAAGCAGCAGCAGTTCGGCCAGCGCCCAAAACACTGCCCGCGCCGCCACAGAAAGCAGCGCGTACGAACCGGGCGATGCGACGTACGAGTACCTCGGCTCCGGATCGACAACATCCGATACCGAGATCCTTGAACGGCCCACGCCCGACAAGCCCACAGGCGCACACACAGGTCTGACACCTGGTCCACCGGATAGCAGCAGCAACGCGTCGCGCTCCCTCTCGGGGTCGTACTCGTCAACCTGGTCGTGATGCGGAGAGTGTGGTGTTTAGTGGTCGAGCAGCGGCTCGATAACCGGAAAGACATCGGGCGAGATGAGAGCAGCGACCTCAGCCTTAGTGGCCCATGCGTAGCCGACGAGGCCCTCATCAGCGTTGGGCACAATGTCGGAGCCGTTGTCGCCAAGATACCACGCCCGGTAGAAGAAAACTCTTGTGGCCATAGGTGCGGTGTCCGGGCGGTACTCGACGTGCGCCGACGGGCGTTGGAGACAAAGTAGACCGGCGCCTCATCGCCGACCTCCTCCTTAAGCTCACGCTCGGCCGTCTGGCGCATAGTCTCACCGTCCTCCCAGCCACCCTGCGGGAACTGCCACGGATGATCGTCGCGGTCCTTGCGGAGGAGCAGATACAGCGAGGCGTCGACAGCCCGGGCCGTCGTCTGCAGCTCGCCAGCATCCGCCGCCGCACGCGTCGCCGCAGCATCAACCTCGCCCACTGGCACCGCCAGATCCAGCGCAGGCGTCTCGTACTTGTCCCAGAACGAGGTGCCCACCGCCGGCCCTGCGCCAGCCGGCGGCACTGCGCCGGCAGCGTCCGATCCCGCCTCTGCCGACCGCCGGTCAGCGTAGACCTCCGCTGGGAAGGTCTTGCGAGTCTCAGCTGCTTTGCTCTCAGCCAGTGCCTTGTATGCCGCCACAGCCGGCGGGTCCGCCTTAGCCACCAGCGGGAAGCGCTGCAGAATGGTGGCGCCCACCAGCCTGGCGTCTGCTGCGCCCGACGCGGCACGGGCCAGCCACCGAAGCGGGAAAGAGGTGACGCCCTGACGAAGCATGTAAGATGGATGTGTGTGAAAGGAGGGGGGGGGGGGGGGGGGGAGGGGGGGGAAGTGGGATGTGGTTTGGTTCAGTCGGTCGGGCGCTTTGCGGTGAGTGGTGCTGGGCGGTGGGATGGGGGTGAGTGACCGACGGGCGGGGGGAGGGGGGGGGGGGGGGGTCAGCGCGTGGAGCGATCTGGACAGGA